TATTCTATCATATATACACTCCTTTCTACCACTTCTTTCTCTTTTACTCAGACGAAGGACTAGCGTCCGAAACGTCAGTAAGTTTTTTCATCTTTTCACGGTGTATAATTTACCTTTTCATCATTTATGTTAAGAACTGATAACTTTACGTTTAGGTTTACTGAAATCAACGGTGGCGTATATAGTGTTATTAGATTCATGTGCTTGACATCAGAGTGTAGAATTTTTCTCCGGGTCCTCAGGTTTTCCTCCATCCACATAACCTAACGTGCTAAATTCCAAGTCCTTCTGTGAGTCAGCCATTCCCTGACTTTAAGCTTACTAGATGTTGCCAGTTTCGGGGCATCGACAATATTTTAAGCTTTTTTTAGTTTTATCTTGGATCAAAACCATCAAGCAAGGCAAAAATACAAAAGAAATCACACTTTTTCTCGCTGGAATTTGTGCTTTTTTTTTTTTTTTAGTTTTTTCCTGAGACGAACATTCACAATAATTTTATATTTTTATTAACACAATCAATACACTTGCCTCAGCTTCTACCAGGTTATTGTTCTGGAAATAGCTACCGATGAAGAGGGAAATCCTGTACAACAGGATAAAAACCCAGACGAGTATAAACCATCAGATCTGCTAACTTACCAGGAAGCCAGGAAGAGGAAACCAGACCTCGTACCATACATCACTGCAGAATTTTCTGCAGAAGACTTCCACAGTTACCGGATATTTAGAGTCGGTGACGCAAAGAATTATAGTACAACGGCGAGAAGGAGGAGGGACACGGATGGACATTACTATAATGGACCACTTGAGCCTGGTACATACTATAGTGTGTTCCAAAGGGCAGCAGTGACAAGGGTAGGTCAAAATACCTCTTTACTGACACGGTGGCCATCTTGAAATCCTAATGTTTGGATTAAGACATTATGGGATCCGAAGGGGCAAATATATTGGAAAAGTTATAGACTGCACAGCTGTCAGGGTGTCTTTTTATATTTCTTTGCGCTTTTCAACGAAAATCATCTTAAAAAACAATTTAATTTGCTGGTTGTAACTATGTATGCCCCCTTGGAATCCCATAATACGAAAGAAAAAAACTTCATTGTCAGTAACCATTAGTTGAGCTGACCTTTATGAAAAATCCGAGGTCAACAAATCAGCTCAAGAATTTCACCTTTTTTAAGCGAACACTTTGAGGCCTTGCATGGTGTTCGTTTAGTAAGGTTTTCCAAGGAATAGAGGTTTGTGTTAAAGGTAATAGGGGGGCAGGAAATTTACGCGCCGTGTAACTAACTGCGGGCCCTTAATTGGCAATTTGTATTTGTTAAGGGATTTAATAACTAATTCAAAAAAAAATGAATTGAATAGCGAGGACAACATAACAGCTATCATCAATTCCTCTTTTGCCTCACTCATATTCTCTCTCACCATTCTATGATAGTCTAATGCCTTAATGCACTTTTTCAGGACCTGTACACGTCGACCGGTTGGCTGCGACCAGTGTCCACAGCAGGTACAGCCTTCAACACTAGTAAAAATTTTCTATGCTTTTTTTACAACTGGCCTTGGCAGTGATTGACATTATAAGGGCTTTAATTGGGCTACCCAGGTGTCAGTTTACGAGGACCACTCGTTCAGGACGAAAGACTTTGTGATTAGCCAATACATGCTAAGTTAAAGCTTTTGCACTCAGTGCTAGTTTGAAGGACAAGCAATATTTTTTATGCATTCCCGTACATCATCCTGAAGTAGCATGAGAAAAATGCGCAAAAGTTGGAAGGGGCGGGCCAGCCATCAACCCCCATATAGGGGGCTCTTCCTAGAGGTTCGATCCTCAGGCATTACCACTACATGATTTTATATTTACAACATACAACGCTCAACTCACATGAAAACACTGCATTAAGCGCCACAGTCTTCGGCGATGCTTACCATTTACCTGGAAAAACCGGAAATCAATCAAATACAGCCAATCAGAATGCAAGACAAACGTTGTATATTTATCGGTATTCGACTCTTCGTTCTCATCATGCGCCGCGCTCTTAGTTGTTTGGTGTGGAATGAAATTCTTATACAATGCTTACACGTGGCACACCATTGAATATCCCACTTGTCCGGCGCTTGTATTTTCTTTGTATACTCACTCCGCTGAAGGCTCATGTACATGTATACATACAAAATACGCGTGGGATATTTCATGGTGTACCACTCAAAAGCATTGTATAACTGGTCATGTATCTGTATTTTCTTCTTTCTTTATAGCATCGTCTACAGCTGCCAAAAGAAAGGCTGGTTCAAGTACGAACACTGGACTGGTTGTTGGATTATGTGTGACTTTCATACTCATCATTATTTTTATCGTCATCGTTTTTACCATTCTCTGGAAGTAAGTATCAAAAATCACCGTTTTGAAAGAAATTCAATCCTACCAAGAAACCATAGGAGAGTATTTTTGGAAGGTGGCGTTTGTGACGTGCGCAAATAAAGAGCCAACTCTTAGAGGACTTGGGCACTTGTCAATCGTTTCGTCCTATATTTTCCACAAATATATTTGGGCTACACGTGTGTATGTCCTAACTGCTAAAAATCATAGCAGTTCGGCAAATCCGATTTCTTTATTGAAACTGTTACCTGCAGACCTGGATCCGATTGCACGAAGGGTGGATAGCGCTATCCAAAGGATAAATCCTTATTAAGTGGATAAGTCGATGCTGTTATCCAATAAATTTATCCACTAATTCAGATTTATTCTTCGGATAGCGCTCTCCATGACTCTCTATCTCTAGACCAAGTATTTTTTTTTTTCTTTCTTAGAAAACGTCGTTTCGACTTCGGTGTCATGTTGGATGATGAGAGCAGTTACACTGGAGGTCGATCCTTACGGCTTAAAAAGATACGAGGCAGTAAGCGACGTACGTCAAGTCGTGGTCTAATGGGATCTACTGACTCTTTGGATAACCTTGATGACATCAACAGAAGTAAGTGTTTTACTCGATTCATTTAGGGGAGCACAGGTCACTTAGCGGTGATAGCGCTTGTCTCTCATTAATGTGACCCGGTTCGATTCTCGTACTCGGCATCGTGTGTGAGCAGAGTTGCTCTTTGGTTCTTTCCGGTGCTAAAAGGGGTTTTCTGCGGTTTGCCTCCCTCTGAAAAAAATCAACGTCTAAATTTGAATTTGAATTTCACTGGACGCTGAGCTGCTGAAATGTCTACGCTAAATTCAGTTTACTTATTCATTTATTATATTTATTTGTTGTTGACTTTTAGTGCACATGTTTTCGTTGTAATGGCAGTTATTACGCTCAGTCATCTCCCCTCCTCTCCCCTCTTCTTCTCTCATCCCACTTCGATTCTCCCAATCCCTTTTATTCACTTCCCTTTTTTCGTTTTCCACGCCTTCCTTCCTTTCGCCTTCCCTATTCTTTATCTTCCTTTGACTGTTCTCCTCTACCTTCAGTGGCGGATCCAGGAATTTTAGCAGGGGGATGACTATTACAAAGGTTTTACCAGAAATGCAAGAAAAGGGGGATTGGCTTACTGAGGATAATTCTTTGACATGTAAGCAAAAGGGGGTGGCTAGCCGCCCCCTTCACCACCCCTGGTCCCGCCACTGACCTTACCCATCCTATTCCTATCATTCTATCCCTTCCATTCACTTTCCCGCCTGCCATTTCCTCCTCCTCCTCCTCCTCCTCCCCTTTTTAAAAATCTTATGCAGACATTTGAAAGCAATTGATCACAATATTCGTGGCCATCTTTTACTTCCAGGGCGACAGCCGATTCCTGTTGAAGACTTTCCTAACCATGTTCGTAGGATGCATATTGATGGAGATATAGGTTTTTCAGAAGAATACGAAGTAAGTTTTTCAAAACACTGTCACTAGAGATTTTAATGCTGGCGTACATCTCACTGTTGGCAAGACTATGCTGCTAGTATTTGTTAACTAAAGTACATTTCTTATGACTGAAAATTTACCATACGAGGCACCATCACAGCTCGATGAAACCTGTTAAAGTAGTCGTAGCGTTACGGTGCTCTCATCTCGCCGCTATGAGCCGCCGGGTCCAAAATCTGCTCAGTTAAAGCCCAGCCATATGGTGCAACGGTTGTGCGCAACGTTCAAGTCTGATATGGTTGCACACAGCTGGCATTCTCGTGATTTTGTCATCTAATGATATTTAATTGATTCGTATCTGAGCTGGTAATGTTAGCGCATTTCCAAGATTTTAGACAAGGGTTTTAGTAAGCGGCTTCTCATACTCACGAATGACTGAGCTTTATACTCAAAGCCTCACATTGAAACCTTTGTGCGTGATAAGCAAAATATATTTCATAAGTGGGTTAGCATTTTTTATATCATGGTTTTGTTTTCTGCTCCTTTTGACTAAGAAAATCTAGAATTTGGTTCAAGAATAGACGATTTCGAGATGCGCAAACGCTTTCATAATTACTTCAGGCGCAGACATGAAAACTAGGCATTTTTGGGCAGTTTTCATAAGAAACCTTAGGAAAGTATTTCTTTATTAACGTAATTTTAAAGTTTTTGTTTTATGTGTTYTCTATAGAGGTTTTGCAACATCACGTGATGGCAGCCATGTTAGATTGCAGGAACAATACAATCGTTTTACATGAGAAAGAATTCAATTCCCGAGAGCAAAGGGATTTTATTGTTCTGTCATCTAAACAAGGGCAGTCAAAGCTGGATTATGGGCGCCGGCACATGATAGTGCAAAAGCTCTATAGCGCGCGTAGAATCTTGCCTGAAAATGCCTCGTTTTCGAATCTGAGCACGCGATACTTTTGCGCATCATGCATAATAACGATAAGTATTTTACTTTTCTTTACAGTTAGTTCAACCCAACGACGAGGAATTTACTTGGCACCACTCTCTCCACTCAGCAAATAAATACAAAAACAGATACGCCAACATCGTGGCCTGTAAGTATAGGGGCTTTGCACCATCACGTGACGGCAGCCATGTTAGATGGCAGGTACAATATAATCGTTTTACATGAAAAAGAATTCGATTTCCGAGAGCAAAGGGATTTTACTGTTCTGCCATCTAACCACAGGCAGTCCAAGCTCTATTATGCGCCGGACGCAGACATAAACGCAATCGCAAACACAATAAAATAATCCTCTTGCTTGTGCTTGGGTTGAGCCAATTTTTACATTTAAATAAAACTATTTTGTTTGTGTTGCTATTAAGACCATGTTTTAGTGTTATGTTAACATCGTCCACATTACTCGTCAGGCTCCTAACGATATGTTGTTGTTTGTTTTAGATGATCACTCGCGTGTCATTCTCACTCCGATTGAAGGCGTAGCAGGATCGGATTACATCAATGCTAACTACATCGATGTAAGTCGAAACCTTAGAGAGAACATTCTTCTGTCTTTCTGTCCGTATGTCTGTCTCTCTGTCTGTCAGTCTGTCTGTCTGTCTGTCAGTCTATCTGTCCGTCTGTCTGTCCGTCTGTCTGCCTGTCTGTCTGTCAGTCTGTCTCTCTGTCTGTCTCTCTGTCCGTCTGTCTGTCCGTCTGTCTGCCTGTCTGTCTGTCAGTCTATCTGTCCGTCTGTCTGTCCGTCTGTCTGCCTGTCTGTCTGTCAGTCTGTCTCTTTGTCTGTCTCTCTGTCCGTCTGTCTGTCTGTCTGTCTCTGCCTGTTTGTTCGTTTGCAGTTTGTTAGTTTGTTTGTCGTTGTAGTTTCAAACTTTATATTTGTACTTTTTTTGTTGTCTGTTCATTTATTTTGAATCGTGCGCGCTTGTGTTCTCTTGTGCATTTGTTCCTTTTTCATTTTATCTGTTAAAATCCTAAGGTTCACCAACATTGATTATCTCTTTTTATTATATAAGTACTGAGATTTACATGTTCGCAAGCTATTTGATAAAAATCATATCACAAAAACGGGAAGCGATCCTATTGGCTATACGTTTTTCTTCACTGGTGAAGAACATCGTATCAGCACTGTGATTGGCTATACGATATTTTTCACTAGTGAAAAAAATCGTATCGAATTTTCCCGCGCTTTTTGCAGTAAGTGTCAGCTTGCGTTTGAATGTTTGTTGTCAAACGTTCTTAAACATGGAAGGTTGTGCTCAAGATTTGCTAAAATCGACTCAATCACTGAGTTTATCGAGAACCAGGAAAACGAAAACACTAGAAAAAAGACACAGAACGATGTGGCACTCCTAAGGGAATTTTTACAAACGAAAGGAGAGACGAGGGCTATAGAACAGAAGCTCTCTACGGGCTTTTATAGCTAGTTTTGAGCGATATCTAAAGAAGAAAACTTATTGGGTGAACATCATCAAAGACGTTGACTTTGAACAGACACGAAAAGCTTTGCAATCAAAGCAACGAGAACTCAAACAGAAAGGAAAAGGAAGTATTATATTTTTCGTGTATTAGTCATTAGGTTATTTTTTGATTGGTTTTCACTTTAATATTGAACAAGTACACAATTCTGATCTAAGTATACTTATATTTACAAGTTTATCACACTATTAGAAAGAGACATTTCTATTTCAGTTCGAACCAATTGTTCTAGGTTCGATAAATTTTTTTCTCAACTCCAAGTTCAAAAAATCTTTACTTGTAATATCTCAGTACTTAAATAAATAAATTACATCATGGTTAGTTCGCTTGTACGGTTTTTATTCACTCGCTGCGAAGAATCAAACTCACTCGCTCGAAGACTCGCTCGTTCGTTTGATTCTTCACAAYTCGTGAATAAAAACCGTACGCACTCACTAACCATGAAGTAATCTCTATTCCAACAACAGGGGTACAATCGGTCTGGTGCTTATATCGCTTGTCAAGGTGAGAGTCAATATTGATATTAATATCTGATAAAATGAACATAAAATCTCTTTAAAGGCACGTGATAGTTTGAACACTTTTCCTTTGATGTTTCTCATTTTGTCTTCCTTTCCTTAAGGACCCCTCCCAGAGACATTTGATGACTTCTGGCGTATGATTTGGGAGCAAGGAACAGCGACTGTCGTCATGCTTACCCAACTAGAAGAGCGTGGAAGGGTAAGTACTTATGTCCAAACAAAAAAAATTGTTTCCCTTAGTGCGTGATTACACGTAGCAATTTTCTATGCAACTTGTCTCGCATGGAGCATTGCAGCGTGTAACGTACAGCGCAATTTGGAAAAAAATGTTGCGAGACAAGTTGCAGCAATCGTTGCAGAAAGTAGAATTCGATTCTACTTTTTGCAGCGATTGCGTCCCCGTTGCACCGTGTAGACAGTCTTGCAACTTGTGTTGCAACGGTGTTGCGAGACAAGTTTCAGGGAAAACTACTCAGTGTAATCGCACCTCCAGTGACGAGCGAAAAACTCAAATGGACAGGTTCTGGAGAAATATTTTGTATAATATTTTGTTCATTTGTTATCACTGGAGATCCTTGAGACAACAAGAACTCTTCCCAACACCTTATTTTTTCAGAGAAAATGCGACCAGTATTGGCCAGATCGTGGCACCAAAAATTATGGTATGATCAGAGTAACTGCCAGTGAGACATCCCACATGTCTTATTACATCTTGCGGACATTTATTCTGTCTCACAAGCAAGAGGAAGAAGAACCCCGACAAGTAAAGCAGTACCACTTTACTTCGTGGCCTGATCATGGCGTCCCTTCACACCCAGCACCACTTCTGTCACTGGTGCGTACGGTGACCAATGCAAATCCCGCCTCTTCTGGGCCGATAGTTGTGCATTGTAGGTTAGTAATGCGACAATATCTGCATCATTGCATGTACTTATACGCAATGATTATACTCGCACCAGTAGAATTATTTGCGTCACACAGCCTCCAAGGCAAACCTTGTAACTGCGGGTCCGACCTCACACCTTCAATATTGACTGAAGGATAAATAAGGCTCCCAAAAATAACATTTTTATGGGGTGTGCAATAATGGTTGGTTTTGATTTGTCTAGTGCCGGCGTTGGTCGTACAGGGACATACATAACCCTTGATGCTATGTTACAGAAAATTGAAAAAGAGCAAACGATAGATGTATTTGAATTTGTCAAGCAGATGAGGACGAAAAGAAATATCATGGTTCAAACAGAGGTATGGTTATTGTTTTCTGGTAATAGACCTCTTTATCTTGGGCGTAATGTTACCAATTGCATGCAGACCACGCGTTATTCTCTTGAGAATAAGATTCTTTCTTTAAGTGATTCCCATATTCATGTGTCTTCTCATGCGCTACCGTAAAACAAAGAAATGATGCTGTAGGGAATAACACGTGGTCTGAAATGGGTAGCAGTCTATTTTCGTTGTCGTTTATCTCTCTCTCTCTCTTTTTTTTTTTTTTTTTTTTTTTTTTTCTTATTTTTTTTTTTTTTTTTTTTTTTTTTGGTGTATCGTTATGTTTATACCAATTCTTTTCTTTCTTGGTTTAGTCCCAATATGTATTTATTTACGATGCTCTTAACGAAGCCGTCTCGTGTGGTGTCACAGAATTTGAGGCCAAGAAATTCGGTGCCCGACTTCGCGAATTACGAGAGGTTGACCCAAACACTGGCCGAACCTACATGGAAAAAGAGTTCCTGCGACTTGTTAAAGATGAAAGACACCCGTCTACATTTAGAAATGCTAATCTTGGAATTGACTCTTCCAAAAATAGATATGCCAACATATTACCATGTGAGTATTGGTAGATGGGGATTGTATACGGTTGTTAGGTCATGTTGTGTGTATACCAACATATTACCGTGTGAGTATTGGTAGATGGGGATTGTATACGGTTGTTAGATCATGTT